CGGATAGTTGAAAGGATCTTCCGGCCTGAAGTTGCATCCACTGCCAACAAAGCCTTTTCACCATTCAAGGTTGGTTCACGGGTCGGAGGAAGGAAGAATCAAGGATCAATCGTCCGGGAATGACATCAAAAGACAACAAATAATATAATTAAATTTAAATAAAGACTAATATATATATATATATATATATTGACTAAAAAAGTGCATTCATAAGCTAACCACCATTTTATAGTAAATTGGTTTAAAAATTTAATTTAATTGGACTAAAATAAGAATAAACCATTTTATAATAAATTGGTCTAAAAATTTTATCTCCTCATTCCATTATTTGGAACCACAAAAAATTTATAAGTAAAATTTGTTAAAAAAAGCTTTTGAAACATATCATTATCACTATCAATAAGTAGCAGACGCATGTATTATTGATGGTGGAAGTGCCCCCATTCAACTTGAAAAAATTTAAGGAGATTTATAATTATGTCTCACATAAAAAAATTAATTACTGTAAGATTTATAGATAATTAAATTAAATTGTATTGACAATTGATTTTATTATCAATACAATTTAGATCAGTTATCAATGGATTTTATAGTAATTAATTTTCTTATATGAGACTTCAATGTAATTCTCTCAAAAATTTATAAAAAAGAGGTGAGATTTTTAAAAAATTGTCCATATATTACCTCAATAGTTGTGAACCCACTGGACTCAAATTAAAATATATTTGAATTCAAAAAAAATTTGGGTCATTTATATTTTTCTTAAACTTAATAGATTTTAAATTTTGAATATATTATATTTAAATTTAGATTGTCTATACATAAGTATCATTTTAATTTTCCTTTTAGAATATTATTTTATAAAACTAGATATTTATTATTTTATATATAGAATACATTATATTTAAATTTAGATTGTCTATACATAAATATCATTTTAATTTTCCTTTTAGAATATTATTTTAGAAAACTAGATATTTATTTTTTATATATAGAATTATTTTTTTATTATTTTTACATTTTACATAATTATGCCTCTACTGTCTTTGGGTCTTGTGCTTGCCACTGCGTCCCATGATATGTCACTCTTATACTTCCATTTGCAACTCTTAAAATGCAAATTTGCAAGTAATGTTTATTAATTTGTAAAGAAAAATAATTTTCAAACAATGGTATTTGACAAGTTCCTATTTACAAATTAACAAATCTCATTTACAAATTTTTTTATTAAGATTGCAAATCATGGAATGAAAATAGAAAATTTTTAGACCAATTTATTATAGCACCTTCAATTCTTGCTTGAGATTTTCAAATTTTTTATTCTTACTTAAATTTAATTAAATTTTTTATCCTTTAATGTCGTTTCCTTATCATTTAAATTATCATAACTTTTTCTTTCTTTGGACTATTCTCCATCCAAAAATATTAAAATTGGAATGTTGGAATGTATTTCAAAATATAGAGGAAGAAATTTTTTTAAAGCCATTTAATAAGCCTTCATTATTTTCCCGTTAAATGTTATTTTTTTTTCCAAATAAGAGATGTTCTACTTATAAATATTACATATTATTCTACTCTTGTAATGCGATTTATATTAAACATTAAAAAATATAAAAAATTACTCAATTATAAATGGAAAAAGTGTATATAATTTTTCAATATATAAACTTTAATTAAGGAGGAACTTGTATTTAATAAAATAACCATTATGTTATATTAAAATCAAGGTTATAATTGTAAGAACTAGTTTACATTATTAAAACAAATCAAAAAGTCATTATTTAAAGGAAGAATTACATTGAAGTGCCACACAAGGAAATTAATTATTGTAAAATCTATTAACAACTGAACTAAAGTTATCAATAGATCTTACAGTAATTAATTTCTTTGTGTGGAACTTGATTATAATTTTTTCTTATTTAAATGGCTAGTGTCTGTGTGTGTGTGTGTTTTGGGGGGGTGTCTAGGCTAATACTAAAATGGTTCTAACTCACGTTTAAAATGAAACATAAGTATCAATTACATAAATTAGTTCAGTAATAAATTTTAATAAATTTTTCAGCATTATGAGCCATCTGCCATGGCCAGGGATTAGTTCGTCATAGTCAAATGCTCTCTGTATCATGCGTTGTGGTACATTATACAAAATTTGATAACATTGTGCGATCATGTAATAGATTTGGGACCAATTTATTGCGCGTTCTCAAATCTTCTTCCGACGTCCGATGATCCTAAAAAGCTTATTTATTGAAGTAACTAATATCATCTAGAAAATTCTTTGGAGATGGCTTGTAATTGAAAAGACTAAATCCTTCATGTGGCTTTTCACACTTATGAGCTGAGAAGGAAGCGAGGCCTGGAGACAAATGGCAGCTTTCACTACGACTATGAGGACTTGGAAGACTTCATGAACCTCATCCGAGACTGTCCAGCAACTTTGGAGCCATGGAAAGTAGTCGTAAAAGAAGAATATTGGCACACTTGCATTGCTCCAAAGGAGTTGTGATTGGGCAATAAAATGGAACCTAAAACACGAAGCTGGTCAAATTACACGAACAAGGATAATTGGGCTCTTTTTTTTTTTTGAGATATATTTGCTGTAATATTTGGGTTGCTAGATGCAGAAGGGTGTTTGGATCTTATTGAAACTTGCACTGCTAAGTCGAGTTTCTTCAGAACTTGTTTGAGCAGAGATCCACATAATTTAGCTCCTCAGTTATCCTGTGAATGTAAGAACAGTGGGGGTGCCATAAGCGCTATGTAAAATTTGAAGTTGATTGGTTCACTTATGCGCCATAGCCTACATTTCCTTAACAAATGCATGCGCTTCCTACTGCGTGTTTTCAAGTCCGACGGTCAAAAATTTCTATTTAAAACTTTCCTGAAAAGCAAGCACCGGAATCAAATGCAGTCCATTAACATAATTTTCTGATATTTTGGTAATTAATTGAATATTTACTTTTTGTTCCAAACTACAAGCAAGTAAACTGGCATTATTTTTTTTAATAAAAATGCAAACATATTGTGAGAATAATATTTGATTGTGATTACAGCCAGTGAATTTTAATTTAATAGGTAAGAAAGTAACTCATATTTCACATAGTGTGGTGCTGAACAAATTAGTCACGAAATTCAGCTCACTTAATTTTTTTTACATAAAAAATAATTAATTGTTATACAGGAGATATAATTTAGAATGTTAAATTAGAAAAGGGTAAACATTACATGACTTGAATTTTTTATGGTTAAATTTTATAGATGATGACAGTGTGTTTTTTATGGAGTTATTGTGATCATCAACAAAACTCAATGACCTTTACTTCTTTTACTTTTAATCATTAATCAGACTTCATTTAAATGTTATGTTGATCACAACATAAAACTTGAATATATAACCGCTTAATTAATCATTAGACAACCTATTTTCAAAAATAAAATATACAATTACTGAAATGCATACATATACACTCTTCCAGTCATATTTATAGGACAAAGAAAAAAAAATTAATTTTAGTCCTATTTATATGACACTTTACTATTTTTTATATTTATCTTTACTTTTTTACCTTTATTAAATGTTAGAAAAAATATTAAAAATAATTTTTTATTCTTACCCAAGGTAGAGATGAAAATCTATTAAATTTTAAAATAAAGTTAATGAAGTTTAATATTTTTATTGATTTTGAAAAAAACATAATAAAATTGACCTATAAATAATATCATGGAGTACACAAAAAATTTATAGATATAATCATCGTGTGTGAATTTTTTTTTTAAATTAGCATTCTGCAATGGTTTCTCCCACTCACGCTCACATTTATATATTTCCCTTTAAAAGTGGGTCTCATCACTAAATTCTTTTTTCGTATTGGCTCATTACTAAATTCTTACCAAGGTAAACAACCTCATGAATGAGAACATATACAATTCGGATCCCTCGTAAGCATAAAAGTGAACGCATATATGATGCATTCAACGAAAAATATAGATAAATGAACATAATTAGAATATAATATGTTTATAGTAGTAGGCCCCTATACAATTGTTTTTTTATTACTCTTTCTTTCTTTATTTGTACGAATTTACAAAGAATTAAATTTAATACATACATACATATAAAAAGGATTGAAGAACAATTTTAACCTTAAACTTTAGGTTTTAGAATGTTTGGAATACTAAAATTATTTTTAGCATAAAGTTCCCCTTCAACATTTAAAGATGGTTTAATGTCTTTTTTCCATAAACAAAAGTTAACTTTAACATTTAGTTTCAAAAGATTATAGAAAGTGACTTTAAAAATTACAAAAAAAAATGACCTAGACAATTATAAATAAGTATTGTACAAAACAATTATAATTTTTAGACAATTTTCTATAATTTTTGACATTTTTTTTTGTAATTTTCTTATCAACTAATAATCAAAGTTAACATTTGCTAACTATAGGAGTAGCATTGCACTATTTTCAATTGTTGAATGGCAACATAATATCAAAAATGAGTTTAAGATATCAAATGTTTCTAGGACACTAGTTTAAGGAAATATTGCCAATTAACCCTATATTCAATTGCCTTATTTGAAGGTGGATGGTTTTTTTTAGATCAACTTCTGTTAATCATATTTAGATCAACATATAAGCCTCCTTTTTAGGTTTCAGTTGAAAAATAAAATGTCACACTCTCTCTTGTTGATATAAAAAGAAATAGACACATGAATCAAGAAAGACCTTCGTCATGACACAGTCAAAAACCAATAAAAGAAAGAGCTTGAATTTATTGTTTTGGTAAAGAAGCAAATTATATTTTTATTTATAAAAGTTTTGTAAGTTCATAGTTGAATAGTCCCCTGACAATAACTGCATCTAAATTTTATTTGGTTTCCTTAAGTGGAGTCAAATTTGATGGCTAACGCAGCAAAGAAAGCTCAGACACCATATATATAGCTCCATTGCTCTCAGAAATCTCAAATTCTATTTCTTGTTCGTTACTTTGATAATTAATTAATGGAAGGTAGAAGAGTGTCACTGTACAACTGTGTTCCAAGATATGCACAAGGCAGTGACATTTTAGTGGTTCACAATGACACTTCGTCTCTTCGCTATCTCTCTTCACTGCTTCGCCAATGCTCTTTCACAGGTTCACCCTCTCTCTCTCTCTCTCTCTATCTATCTATCTATCTATCTATCTATCTACATTCACTGTAGTGGGTTTAAAAATATTGGGACAATGGATGCAAATTTTCAAAAGTTACACTATATATATATATATATATATTTTGTAAGTTTTTCCAAGTTGAGTGGGAGCATTGCCCACCCTCAATAATATGTAGGTTTGACACTAATTGATAAGGTTGATCTCGGTTTTCAATGATATAATTCTTATAGAATACAACATTGAGTGAGAATTTAGAGATTGAAAAGTAAGGATTAGAGAGAGGGAAGAAATAAAGAATGGTCAGTCAAAATGATTGGGTCATAATAAGTTCAAATTAGGATCATTAAATTAAATGGTTGTATTCTTTATATCTACTGCCATCTCTAATCTACAGTGGCACATCTCAACAAACCTGTCACTGATGCATCCATGATAGCATCTACACTAAAATACCTTTGCTAGATTAATGTAGATATATGTAACAAGTAACCATAATTTGTTTTGTTATGTAGTTACTGCTACAAATCAAGCATCAGCAGCTATTGACATGGTTTTCCAACAAGAAGGAAGGTTCAAACTTGTGATGGCCAAAGCTAAAATGCCTGACATGAGCACCATTTATTTCCTCAAAACTCTGCTTCTGAAGCATATCACTGTCATTTGTAAGTTCATTTGATTGTCTCAAAGAATACTAATCACCCACATGTAATTTTGTTTCTTTCAATCACTACTTCAATTCAAAAGCTTATTCTTTTATGCTGTTAAGACAATGGGGAAACCAGTAAAGATCAAACTTTAGATTACTTGGTCAAAGTTAATTTTTATACCATAGCAAGAAACTTGAACCCAATAGCTTAAGCTTTTAAGCAAAAGCTCATAAAAAGTTCATTTGATTGTCTCAAAGAATACTAAGCAGCCACACATAATGTTATTTCTTCCAATGATTATTTCAATTCAAAAGCTCATTCTTTTATGCTGTTAAGAAAATGGGGAAAGCAGTAAAGATGAAACTTTAGATTACTTGGTCAAAGTTAATTTCGATACCATGGCAAGAAGGTTGAACCCCATAGCTTAAGCTTTTAAGAAAAATCTCATAAAAGAAGCTTTATTATGATCTTAACGCTTTCCTTCTTGATGATGTTCAGTTATTTCCTCTGGACAAGATGATGGTGGAGCAAAGGAAGCTTTTGATAAAGGATCATGTTATCTCCTACGGGAACCAATCCAAACAGAGGATCTCATATCTGTGTGGCAACAAGTCTATAACACTAATAACAGCGTAGCACAAGAGATTCACACTGCAAAATCTAAACAAAAGGTATATTTCACCAAAGAGTTTCAGCATATTAAGATTAGATATGCATGCATCTTATTGGAGTATGAAACTGAATTTGACTTTCTCAGTATTCATTTTCTAGACATGAGATTCTCAATAGATGTTTGGAAATCAGTTTCGACAACTCTCTTATCAGAGAAACTGGATCCTTGAAATATGACATTGTGTATGAAACAGAAGGGCAGATATAAGTTCTTCTGGTCAAGGAAATCATAGGAAACTACCACATATTTAGCATTGACAGACAAAATATTGCCAGGCGTATTATGAAACAAGTGAAATGCAAGACAGAAATCATGATGATATCAGAGTCAAGAAAAAAGGGAAGAGAGCACTTAATTCACACCAGGTGAAATTAGGCAACAATAATCATGCTGCAGAGGAGGAAGAGGAAGCAAGAGAACATAACAACAATCAATTCCCTCAGAAAAAGCCACGCATTTCTTGGACTTCGGATCTGCATCATAAGTTTGTACAGGCCATAAGTGTTCTGTGGGAGAAGGAGAACAGTACTATTACTTCTAAATTCATTTCCTTTGTCCATTTTTCAGTATTGATTGTGATCATTTATGAACGACCTGAATGTTGGTGTTTGGTTTTAATTTGCTTTCAGATATTCGTCCAAAATTGATCCAGGAGATGATGAATGTTCCTTACCTGACATGTCGCCATATTGCTAGCCATCTACAGGTACTTTTCCATCACTTGAGTGAGTCTTTCTCAAACTTTGCACATATTAGGGTTTGAAGATGCTGATACCAGGTGGTTCTTAATACATTGATCCTTAAATCTCTCTGCTTCCTGATATGAAGTATTAACAATCTCCTATTTATTAAGCTTCTTTGATTCTCTTTATAAACCTAGTATATAATCACCAGTGCTTTCTCAATCAATCTGCTGTTAATTTTTTTTTTGTCCAATATTCTTCTTGTTGCTTTGCTTCCATTTTTGAATATAAATTCCTTTACTGCATTATTCTTCTTGTTCTTATGTCTATACAGAAATTCAAATCTCAAGTAAGGGGTCTTCAGGATAAGTGTAATAATTATTCACCTCCTGCGAGTAAGTTATCAAACTTCAGGGATGGAACCGAGTCATCCTCGGCATTTCATAGCCAGTATTACCCAGGTGAGTTGGCATTTGCAGGATTCAGACTAGGCATAAAGACAAAATACTGAGATTGAACCAGGAAAGCAGAAAAACAAATATTTCCAAGGGAAAAAAACAGCTGAATGTGACCATAGTGTTAGCTTCTCTCTGCATTTTCTGTGCAGGCAGTGCATTTCTCATATGTACATCGTGTAATCATCTGAATTTTCTCAGGTCACCTCACATTAGCTGCTTTCCGAAATGAGAACCAAAATCAAAACCAGCTTCTAGTGAACTTTTCTGAAACTGAAGGCCTGGAAAATTTCCAGGAGCAGGAAAACGCAGCCTGTGCAAACTTTTCATTCCAACATCCATCAGAATTGGTCAATTATGGAAACCAAGATCTAGAAGCCGTAGTGAGAGGAGCTGTGCCAGCTGCTTTAATGAATAAAAATCAATATGATTGCTTTGCAAATGGATCCAATGGAGATTAAAGCGCCCAAACTTCTGAGATAAAAAAGAGTCCCATCTTTGGAAACAATTCGATTCCTCAAAAGTCTGATAGCAGCAAACCCAGCTGTGCCAAGCCATCTGCTATGTTGGGAGAACTTGAACCAGGTGCTTCAATGAATCAAAGCCAAACCCTGACAGAAGATAACAATATATGAAACGGAATTGGATGCTCCATCTCCATAACTCTCCCACCCACAAGCTATAATAAATGTCTGTAACCTCCATTTACCCCTAATTAGTCCTTTTAATACCAATAACCTCCTCCATTATAATGCCATTAATCTCATTAAGCTATTGTAACCTTTTTTATTAGTTTTAAATGCTCTGTCTAGGAGATGACATTTATGAACTACTATGAATTGGGCTATGGTCATTCTCTTCGTTTTCAGAATCAAGGAATAATATATATATTTTTTTTAATCAAAGTGAGAGAGTGTGCTCTCTTCCCCTGGCTCCTGAGCCAACACACACACACACGCACACACAAGTCTTTTGAAGGCAAAGCCATCTGCGGTGTTGAAAGGATATGAATTAACCAATCAAAATAAAACCCTGAAAGAACAAGAGTACATGACAGTATCCTGAGATTTCTTGGAGAAAGATATGATTGTTCTGGTAAGGGATCATATCCCCAAAACTTTGAGATGCTAATAAGAAATTCAGTCCTTGGTAACAATTTTGGTTTGCAGAAGTCTGATAACTACAACCCTAGTTGTGTGAGTTTTGAAATCCAAGACTGATGCTTTGAAGAATCAAAATCAAACTGCAACAGAATATAATAATATCTCTAGATTTCTAGAAAAAGATTGCAATACTGCCCACTCCAATACACTAAGGAATTCTGTCTCTGGAAACAGCTTTAGTTCACTGCTGTTTGATTACTGCAATATTATGTCATAAGCATGAGTTCAAAGGAAGAGCCCATCCCAAAGACTAGTCTGTTGGGTGTGAGAATCCCTCATACTTATAAATCCCATTCCACTTATAAGATTCCTCGATGTAGAATTATTTATAATGCCACCCGTTAAGAGTTGACGTCCCCGGCGACTTCACTCTATTGTCATGAACACAAGTCCAAAGAAAAAAAATCATCTTAAAAGACTACCCTGTTGGGTGGGAAAACTTTTCACTTAAAAAACCCCACTTTGTTTGTAAGGCTTCCCGATGTGTTCCATTATAATGCCACCTTATTGAGAGCTAAAATCCCCAGTAGCTCTACTCTATGGCACTTCACTCGGTCTTCTGTAGGCTAGAACCCTCCGTAGGTAGCCTTTTTGTGACATCGGCCTCTTAATAGAAGCATAATGGTCATGAGTACAAGTTCAAAGGGAGAACCTATCCTAAAAGACTAGCTTGTTAAGTCAAATAATCCTTCACACTTATAAACTCCACCCTATTTGTGAGCTCCTTGATGTGAGATTCATTGCAATAATGTCATAAGCACAAGTCTAAAGAAAGAGCCTATCCCAAAAGACCAATCTATTGGATAGGAGAACCCTTCACACTTATAAATCTCACTCTACTTGTGAGGCTCCCACTTTGCAATGTCACCTTGTTTGAAAATCGATGTCCCTAGCAGCTTTACTTGGCCTCTTGCTGATCAAAACCTTTTATGGGTAGCCCTTTCCATGGCATTGGCCTTTCTATAAAAGCACCAATGTCATGAACACAAGTCTAAAGGGAAAACCCATCCCAAAAGACTAGCCTGTTGAGTGGGAGAGTTTTTCACACTTATAAACTCCATTCCACCTGTGATGCTCCTTGATATAGGATCGATGACACATTAATAGTGTAAGATCAATGAAAGCCAAAGTCGTGTGCTGTAATGGGAGGAACTATGCCAGATGCCTTATTGGATCTGGACAAAATCCTAGCAGAACATAACAATGTCTTAAGAATTCTTGGGGATGATTCTGAGGCACATGGCTGTTTTGGAAATGAACCCAGCTCAGATGACATTGCGATGCCGAAGATTGCTATATTTGGCAATATTTGAAGTCCTTAAAAACTTAGTAACGGCAACACTGCTTGTGGAAGATTTTTGAAAGCCAAACCATGTTCATTTGCTCTTATATTATTACTTGACGCCTCTAATCATCATCATCACTATCATATAAAAACTATAGATTAAGGTTTTCTTTTCTTTTCTTTATCCCCCTCAGTAACAGATAAGTAAGCATTCAAGGTCTTTATAGTTTATACCAATTTGGTTGAAGAAACTAGCTTGATACATTGCGCAATGATCAAAAGTCAAAACCACACTTCACTTATATGTCTGTCTTGTGATGTGGAAGCATGTATTTATGTATACATTTTGCCTCTGCAATTGACACGAAAGCTCATTGATATACCCATATTATTTGAATCTGTATCTTCATAAGTATCCCGGCATAGTGTATATGTGGACCAAATGTAAGATACGTATATATCTTCATAAACATACGTATATCTTACGCATAATATCAGCTTGTAAACTTGGAGGATCTCATCTTATCACTAAACTGTCTATATAAAGAGTAGAACATGTCGTTTATGAGTCATAAACAATGCAAGGGACTGTACAATCAAACAAGAGAGAGATAGAGAGAATGATAAAACTCACATTCACATATCATACGAATTCATTCAAAACTAGGTAAGGAGAGATACATCAAAGATAACATTAATTGGGTTCCACTTTGCTGTAATTGCTTTATTGGGTGTAGACGGAGTCGGCTTTCCTCTGCTGAGGGAAGCCTCCTACGCCTCTCCGCTGAGGCAGATGCAAATTTAAACTGTCCAAATTTAATATTTTAAAATAAAAATATATAAAAATTATAAAAAAAATTAATAAATAAGTTCATCAACCTGACTATCCATATTTAATATGAATAATTTAAATTTAATATTAAAAATTTACATTGACTTTCCAGATATATTTTGGACAATGCAGATATATTTTGAATAGAGCAATAAATTTATTAAAAAATTTTAATATTAAATTTGGACTATCAAATTGATAAGCTTATTTATTAAAAATTTTCATGATATTTATATATTTTTAATTTTAAAAATAAAAAATAAAAATATTAAATCTGAATCGTTCAAATTCAGATTTACCTTTGCCAGCAGACTGAGGCCAACTCTGGTGTAGACACGTGGCATTTCAGACACAAATCTTATGTTGTTGTGGTTACATTAAAGTGGAATCCAGTTACCGTAGTTGTTGGAGAGAGGAAAAGAAAAGATTATATAGGAGATCAGGATCCGACCAAGGAATGAAGCAAGTGAAACAGGATGTGGATGACATTAAAAAGAAGATTGAAGCTTAACGTTTTGGCGAATATAAGTGATTGAAGTTTTGTTTTTGGCCAAAGTGATGAAAGGTTTGCTCATTTCAGTTTTGCAAGTTACTTTTGTGTGATAAAGTATCCCATTCATTAGCTTTAATAAGCGTTTTTTTAGTATTTGGTAAAAGTTGGTTTGTTAAAAATCCATTGTCTAAAAGTTAATTTGTCCAAAACTCATTTACGTTTTGATATATTTTTCAAAAATGAATTTGATAAATTAAAAATTAATATAAAAATAATTTAAAATTAACTCCAATTCACACTTTAAAAGTTAAAAGCTGTCTAAGGTCTATTTGTCAAATAAATTATGTCATTTGATAATCCAACCTTTCACATTTAGAAAGTCACTTTGTATTTTCAGGATGTCCAAAGTTGTGCGAGTAGTAATTGACAAATTAAATTAACTTTGTTGAACGAACATTTAAATAGATCAAAAGTAGATTTAGCCATTGTTGATGTACGGAGCTTTTGATATATGGATATATATACGTATATATATATATATATATATATGACTCATGCCTGCTACACTTTCCAAGAAATTCACAAATTCACAACGAATGATACTTGGCCACACCTTTCGCGTAACCACAAGAAAAATTTTTTAATATGACCCAATCATCCATATATAAATTAATATTTATTTTTTATTTTAATAGTTAATCCAAATTTATAATAACAAATACTATTTATTAATATTAATTATTAGCTATGAACCATCCGTTTTTAAATTATGCTAAATACACAAATTTTATCTAATTGTTTTTAAATAAAATAAAGAAATTCAATTTTTATAATTATAAAGTTCCTTTTAAATAGAGTAAAATATCAAATTTTATGTTAATTAAAATTTTTTTATAACATATATATTTTTCTAACATTTTTATAACAAACTACAAATCATAAAAATTAATATTCTTTTTCAATGATTGTACATTTAAAAACACATCTCATTATATATTATCCAAACAATTTTTGGTTTATCAAATTAATTTTTGAAAAAAAAATATATCTAAACACATTAAATTATAACAACTAAATTTTATTAAACTAACTGTTATTAAATAAATTTTTAATAAACTGATTTTTTACTGGCAGAAAACCAAACATGCACGAAGTGGGATCTTAAATGTATTTTCAAATCAGTAAAACAAATACCCAGCCCCAAATAACATTTACTTTAAAATGACATGCCAAAAAGTATTTTTCAAATGGGAAAAACTGTATTAAAAAAGTATTACAGGACTAGCTTACAAGAAAATAAAATATATGAACTAAATTAAAAATTTGATAAAATTATAGTAGTTCGTAAGTATTAATTTAACTTTATTGTTGGTAAACAAAAAAATTTATTGCTATTATGCTACTCCCTTCGTCAAGAAATATAAATATTTTTAACTAAATTTTATCATAATAAAGTAGTTAGTTATCCTTAAACTAATAATATTTTTTTATATTTACTCTTATTTAATAGGGTATTTTACTTTAAAATAAGTATAAAATGATCTATTTATTATGGACATCTTTAAAAAAAAATTAATTATACCTTAAAATATTAAAAATATTTTATATTTTTAAATATTTAATTTTTTAAAAAAATGACTTATGAGAGAATATATATTTTGATTAAATTCAAATACCATATGTACCTGGGCCCATTTACATTTTTATGTATATTGGTGTCTTTATCATGGACCGTTAACAAGGCTTACAGAAATTCGATGATTTTAAAGTGAAGTGGGCTCTTAATAGATTTCAGAATGAAACAACGAGATGGGGAATAATAATTAAAATGGATTATTCTCTCTAAAACTCATGTTTTATAAATTCATCTAATGACCCAACATAATCATTTGTGAACCTAAGAATTTGTGATCGAATCAAACGATTATAGTTTTTATAAGAAAAATAAATCATTTTATTTCTTTACTTTTACCTCAATTGTAACTCATTCGTTAAATTTTAATTCAATCAATTTTATAATTTGACTTAATAGTAACTGGATCAACAGTTTCTCTAGTTTTAGTTATTTAAAATATTAGTCTCTAAGCTTTATAATAATAACTTTATTTTTTATAATTATATTTTTAAAAATGTAGAAATTAATGTTTTGAATAAATAAAACTATAAAAATTAAATTGCATGAGTCATAGGTTAGGAATTGAGTTTCAACTAAATTAAAATTATATAGATTGAGTTGTATTAACTATTGAGTTAAAGTTTAGGAACTTAAATTTTAGATCAATTAAAACTGTAGCAAATAAATAATTTATTTTCACTTGTTTATGTTACATTAGGATCAAAGGTGGGATTTGAATGTCACGTGCCCTGTGTTGACATTCTATGTATGGGATTTGACTCCTCTAACGCATTTAAAGAGCAAAGTACCGGTGCATAGCTTACATTGATGAGAATTTTGTTAAAAGGAAAAAAAAAAAAAGGGAACAACAATCAGTGATCCCATAAGAACATTCATAACAATTATATATTTAAATTATTAAAATTATAACAATAAATCATGGTCCTTACTTATAATTAAAAAATGTAAATAGTTAGATGAGAAATTTATTAATACACTTAAAATTATTTGTAATGTCAATTGAGAATTTATAAAAATTAATTGTGAATCTCAATTTTTTTCTATCAATATACAGATAAACCACTCAAAAATTAAGTAAATAAATTTAAGATTATTTGCAACATTAACTGAGAATTTATGAGAATCAGTTGTGAATCACAAATCATTTATTTATGATTTTTTTACTGTTAATATATAGATAAATTATTTGAAAAATCTATTAAATATATTTGGAATTAGTTGTAATGTCAATTGAGAATTTAACAAAATCAAATGTGAATTGCAAACTAGTCACTTGTGATTTTTTTGCCATCACTTGAAAAATCAACAAAAGATAGTTGGGAATCTTAGTACCATTGGTTAGAAATTTACTAAAGTTTGTTGTGAATTTTAAATCAATCAACAAAAGATAATTTATTGCAAGTAAGGACCATAGTTTGTCATGAAACATTTAATAATTTAGGGTTTGTAATTGTCATTAATGTTCTTATGAGGACCCTAATTGTCACTTTCCATAAAAAAATAGATTTTAATAAATTAGGAATGACACGATATTTTAGGAATTTAAGCAACATCTTTTCAACTGAAATATACCTGAATTGAAGAGAGGGAAAGATACAAAGAAGTGACGAACATTCCTGGTACAGTGCTAGAGGAAATAAACTCTTTACATGTGTAGCTTTTGTAATATCAGGTTTAGAAAGTTGATAGTTCAAATTCAAACTTCTCATGTTGGCAACCAAAAAAAATATAAAAAAAATCCAACTTTCTCATGTTTGAAATATAATGTGTTTGATCAAAAAGTGAGGTTCAAATAGATTAACGCAACAGAAATCCAGCATTTAATTGAAACATAACTGTAAAATTATTACCTCAGACTGACTCTGAAATATAAGAGCCATATCTAGTTGTAGCCAAAGAATCAAATTTAAATCCCATGAACACCTACATTCTCAATATCAGCATTGCGGTGTGATCATTAAATACCACTAATGACATTATGTCACCAGTCACCACTTTAATTCCCCCCACCATATTCACATGGAATGATAAGCATGAACAATTTGTTCTATATATTTTCTGAACAAAACAACTCCAGTTTCTGATCTGAATCTGAAACACTGCTAGGCATTGCATCTATATACCTACTTTGCCTCTTTAGAATGCTAAACATCCCTGATGTGAAGCATTGAATGAAAAAGTCGAATGGAAAACAATGGTATCGGACTGAACATATGATGATATTGCCAAAGAAATCTCTTGAAATCTACAAAACTTCACTTGTTTATATTGGTTATAGGACCTTTGAACCAATGCCTACCAGAGAGTATCCAGTAAGAAACTACAAGAACCAGCAAACATCCAACAGCAACTGGTGTGTAGTTGAGGTTCTCAATAGTTACTGGGTAAGCAACAGGCAATGAGAAGAGGACAGAGATGGTCACCACCCAAAGAACCGCGACCCAGCCAACGATGATCCCATATCGTCCCAAGTTGAATGGCCCCGGGATGAAAGACTTCCGCGCCAAGGTCACCCTACAGAAGATTGGAAGAGCATAGGCAATATAGAGGCCGATTGTGGCTATGGAAACCATAGCATCAAATGCCACAATGCTTCCAAGGGACTGCAGTACAAATAGGATTTAGTGAGATGAGTACAATGAGGAGGACTATAGAACAGATGGAACATCGTGACCAGCCTTCTTATGGGTTATCTTCTAAATCAGCATCTGTTTGTATTAGATGATGCATTAATCTTTACAGGTGGCAGTGGAATAACGAACCTAATAAAATTTGTTTAAAGAGATGGGAGATCCATTCTTTAGGGTTTTTCTTGAAAGTTTAAACTTTTCAATCATGCAGAATGATAAAGTGATTTGGAATTTTATCCTTGCCTCCCACTAAGTAGAATTCTTTATAAAACAGTGTTTATTTTCAGATTAAGGTTTTCATCACCTTTCAGCTTGTATTTTGTCCATATTCCAATCGTGCCTCGTTTCAGGGTTCAGGCAAGCGGTTGAGTTATAAAACACACTATTCAGCCCTTGCCGAACATCAACTTTCAAGTCAAAAAGGTTCAATGATAGAATAAGAACTTCTTAGAAGAGATTAAAAAGGAGGGGAAATCTCATTTCGTTTTCTTTGTCACCAGTAACAAGACAAATCCATATGAAATATGTAAACAGATTATCATCATAGAGCAAAAGTTTTCACCACCTCAGATGAAAACCAGATCATCATCATCATCATCATAATGATATGCCAAGAGCTTGCAGCTCAGTGGCATGATCCTTACCCCTTGATGCAAGGGACTCCAAGATCAATCCCCCATGTGGTTAAAAGAGGGGGAAATTGTGTGTGGTGGGTGTGTTGTATGCCGTGTATCCTGTTTCCTGTGGGGAAATATTAGATAGGATAGGAAAAAGAATCATCACAATGATATTTTACATACCGGTAATGCCATGCAAAATGATATAATTACAGATAGCCAAACTGCATTTATGGGGACCTCCTGCTTATTTACTTGGTGCCATAATGATGAAAACGGCATGGCTCCATCTCTAGAGAAAGCATAAGCCATCCTGTTCAAATAATGAGCGCTGAAGTAATTAGAGAGACTGAATTACTCACAAATGAAAAGCATTCCCAGAAACTACTATGTTATGTTACCTTGAGTTGCTGGTAACCGAACTCATGCCACAGAAAAATATGGCAACAGCAACCACTCCCAGGCAAATAATTCCCCCAACTCCACTGCCATACCTTCTCTTGAACGCTAGATAAAATATTTCAGCAATGGCATACCCACCAGCATCATTATTTTCACTCAAAAGGTAAGGGATATCAGTAACAGCAAAGGTAATGCCAAGTATATAACCCCATCCAACAATAATAGATATCCCAATAGCACTGATGATTCCTTTTGGTCCATTTCTATCAGCATTCTTGGTTTCCTCTGTCTAAAAGTAGGAGTTAAATAAAGCAGAGGTTTAGTCAAAATCATCGAGAAATTTAATCCATCAGTGGAAAATGCACAATTCAAAAGCGGTAAAACAAAAATTTCTTAAAACTCCTTAAATAAATTACAATATTAACAATGGGCATATAATTACTTACAGCATGCGAAAAATAGTATTGGCTCACAATTTACATGTTATTACATCTAGACTGAATCAAAACGTAGGTCATACGATGTTTGGCAATGCTTGTATCTGTAATCTTGTGAAAAAGAGCTCAAATTAAGATCCCAAACTAGTGAAAAATGGGGAAAAACCCTGTCATCGCAATTAAGTATTCTTAAACAACAACTCATATACACTTAATATTGCCATGATTTTTCTGGGATTCAATCCAGACGGATCAAAAAGTGCGTAGTTTTAGAGAACAGCTATTGAAGGAATCTTAATTCTATGAAAGTAAAACAAAATAGAAAAAGATTTACCATATGAGCAGATGCATCATATCCAGTTAGAGTGTACTGACTCATTAGAAGTCCCAGGAGAAATATGTATACTCCGCTCCTGATTCCTTCTCCATTATCAGTATTGAAATGAGTGAAAACAAATTTGGCACTAGCTCTTTCCGTTGCAACAGATGGAATGAGGATCATAAGCAAGAAGACACCTAAAAAATTGTTTATTGCATAAGAAGTAAATAAATTAAAGGCTCTTCCTAAACACTAAAAGAAAAGACAAAGTAACAGGAAATTTGTTCTTCACACCTAAAACATTCCAGATAGCAGCTAACTGCCCAAAGAACGATAATAATGAGATAGGAAGGCTGTTTATTATAGCATGTAAGAGCAAAATTCCCCCATGGAAACAGATAACTATGTACTTAGATGCTTCATATCCACCGCCATTTTTCCCTCCTGTACTGAGGAGAATGATAACCTGAATGAGTTTTGCCAGTGAAAAATCTACACTTGTTGTCACAGCCCACTGAAAAGAAAAAGGGATCAACAGTTAGAGATTGAAATGTTACAATAGGAAATCCACACCCTACACAAGTTTGACCTCGCCAGTAGTGGTGAAGGATGTTGGAAATCTATTTTATACGACATCTCAAGAATACCTGACCAACAATATTGAACCTGCAAGAAAATAAAAATATTCAATCTCCATTGGAAAAATAATTGCGGAAAGGCAAAAATGGCATTGTCTCTTATGATTGGCTTGGACTTGAGTCGCTAATTAAGAAATCAAATTCAATATTAGGCTCAATGGCATCAAGAAAATTTCACGTACTTATATGATTTAAAATCTTTAACAACATTACACTTAACCATCGTGCTGTAGGCTAACCAAATATGAAAATGCTGTGTGAAAGAGCCAGAGAAACATGAGGTTGATTTAAGTTCTAAGCAGAGCCTAATCATCGTATTGTAGACTAGCTCAGTTTCAGCAATGGAGTTTCATGTTAGACATTGGAGATTAATTTTCATTTCACTTTTCCGTATTTGAAAATCAAGTTTCGTAGTATTCTTATTCTCAATGCATCAAGACAACTACTCCCCATATTTCAATGTAGTTTGGGCATTTACCACAGTGATTGATATATCTCATGGACGTCATAAAATTTCCTGTGATGATTGAGAAAAGAAATTGGTAAATAAATAAAATAGTAAATACTTAGTTAAGTGATTAGATGAGAGTTCAATGCCCATGTCTGTGAGACCCACCAAGAAAACAAAGAACAAAAAGAAAGTTTCCCAGTAAAATCCAGGACAGTGATGACCTATTTAGAGAAGAAAATATTAGAAGCTACCAAAGAGGAAGAAGACAAGTTAAACCTCCTTAAAACGGGCATAAGTGAAAAGCAAGGGTTCAAATCCCTATATTATGCTGTAGGTAAACCTTCTGCGTACTTATTTCCACCCAGACATCTCCTTACACATTTCTCAAATGAATCTAACCCATCAGTAAAATGTTCGGCACTTTTGACTTTACCAAACTACATGGAGTCACGAATGCATTATCATGATATCTAACGTAGGAAGGGTGGGTTGGATCTAAGCAGAGGTAAAAGCCTCAACTCTATTTAAACTAAATAACAGCCATAATATACTTGTCTTGCACAAACCTGTAAATTCTAATGATTTCTCCATCCCAGTAAAATAAGGTCAGAGAATCATATGTTAAACGCTATATCGTTGAATAAATATGTGCCAAACCAAATAAAAGAACGAGGAAAAGTCAAGATAGGCATTACCAGCCAGTAATCCAGGAGGCAAAAGGTGCCCATCCCGGGCCAGCCAGTTTGGCACTCCAGTAGTATAACCCACCAGAAGTTGGGTAAGATGAACAAATTTCAGCCATTGACAACCCAACTAACATGGTGAAAGCACTAGCTACAAACCAACCGTACACAATAGACACAGGGCCACCATAGTTCAACCCATTGTTGTAGAGAGTGGTGATACCAGTGAGCACTGATATGATAGAAAATGAAAACGCAAAATTTGAAAGGACCCTGCAATTGCCAGACAAAGGAAGGAAGGAAAAACAGAACGTAATCCATAACAAGCTTGGGAATCCAACCCCGAGTCGAAACTGAATAGGAAGTCAACGACGACACAGAATGGGAAGGAGGAAACTTTACGATAGATCACGCTTGAGCTCTTGTTTGTAGCCGAGCTCATGAAGACGGGTATGGCCAGAATCAAGTGAAGCACCATCATTTCCAACTCCATGAGATGGGAGTACCATCTTGACCTCGCCTTCTTGGAAGCGAGGAAACTGAGAAAGAGGCTAGTCTATTGTTATTGTTTGTTTCAGCGTAAATGCTGAAACTCTTCACAATCAAACTGATTTGGGGAGAGAGAGGAGGGACCACCTTGGTATTTTCTCGGACCAAACGGCTGGGTCTTAATTGTCAACAAAGATGGCATTGTACCTTTTTTTTTCCTTTTATAGAGATTCTAGCACTACAGAATCGAACTCATAATCTGACATGTGAAAAGTCTTCCCAGAAAGCCACAAGCTGATGCCACCAGGTCAGGTAAAGAGCTCATTATCCACGTGTCAAGGATGACATTTCATCTCTTTTTATTAGGAGTCTCAACTCTCAACTAGTGAAAAATAGAAGGGAAAAAAATAAATAAATAAAAGGAGGTATTTTAAAAATTGTTTTACCATTTACCTGAGCAAAGAGATACAAATTTCTCCTCTTCTCAACATTCCCTACTCCGCTGTCTCCAGCCGAAGCCGGTTATGTTAAAACTTTAAAATGAACTATGGCCTTGATAATCCAAGCCACTAGCAGGTTTTTATTTGAGTCTCTGAATTTGAATTCTTTACTAAATTAGAATGTGGCAATGTGATTCAGTGCTATAAAAGTTTGACATGATATAAGTAATTCTTTATTAAGATTGCATCTTCTTTAATTTGACTTAATAGATAGCAGTAATTGCATCATATGAACCTGTCTGTAGTGTCTTAATACTGAAGTAACCAATTAAATTTGAAACTTGTCTTTTAAACGAAAATATATTTCTTTGGTCTTTTAAAGTAATATTTTAAATTTAGAGATTTTAAACATTTTCAATGAAAAAATAAGATTAAAAGCATAGAAATTTGATAAACAATCAAAGCGAAATAATATTTTTAGTGGCGGGCTTGTCAGGAGGTAGTTGGCTTTCTCATGCAAAGAATCTTTAATGTCTGTGCCTGACAACGTTGACCATCAGATGTGAAATGGACGGTGTGGATTGTGGATCATCATTGAATCAGATTCTTCCTCTTTTTTTTGGGTGATAATCGAATCAGATTCTTTTTTATAAAAAATATGTTGATGACAAATAAATAATTCAAAACAATATAAGTAATTAATTTATTTCGTCTAGTAATTCAGATCGAATTATCAAAATAGAGATTATCTGAATATTTTCTCCCTAGCCATGGTGAGAGCAAAATAATTTATTGGCAAATTATGTTATTTTTTATTTGAAAAATCAAAAGTGTTATATATCTACACGTATCAATCACATCTGCTAGGTGGAGAGGAAGGCAAAAATTGTAAGAAGAGCACGCCAAAGCCACAGCAAAGACGAAGAAGAACAAGAGCGAGAAAGCTAGGGCAGATGGCAAATAACAAATTTATTTAAAAAATTAATTATTTAATTACTGTATTTTTAACTTAGTTGTAACTTAATTCTTAACATTTAATTCATGTTAACTCAGTCTTTATAGTTTTAAATTAGTTGTAACCCAATTTTTAAATTTTATCTTTTACAATTCAGCCCTTATAATTTTAACCATTTAAATATTAGTTCTTACATTTTAAAAAATAAATTATAAATATTGAAAATGTTTTAAACTTTTAATATTTATAAAAATTAAAATGGTTTAATAATATGAGATATTGGTAATAAATTTTAAAATAATTTTAATATTATAATTTTATTTTTAAGATATAGGGGCTAATATTTGAATTGTTGAAACTAAAAAAAACTAAAATTACAAGAATTAAAATTTAGGGATTGAATTATAATTGAGTCAAAACTTTAAAAATTGATTATAACAAGTTAAAATTTAGGAATTGAATTACAATTGAATTAAAATTATAAGAAGTAAATGATTATTTTGTTTTATTTTCAAAATCTCTTCTTTTTAATTCCCTCTAAGCATCCTTTTTCATGGACCCACATCAAGCTAAATGGTCCTTAACGAAATCCAAACTAAAATGGATCCAGCCAAATCAACCTTTTAAATGAAAGATGACCTTTTGAACAAAAACTCTACCAACAATATTATTACATTTACAGAATTTAAATTAAAATTTTTAATTAAATTAATATAACTCTCTTACTAGTTGAATCAAGCCTTCTCAAAATCTTCACGTGTGAAAACTTAGGAAAAGAAATGTCGTAGGTTCTTAGATTTCAAAGATTATAGTGGTAAGGTGTCTCAGTCGGATTCAGCAAAAATATCTGAGATTGCGTGCTATCCCACAACTTCAAATGGGACCACACACATAATGATTTTTTTTCTTTTATCCTGCTTAAGCCTGGCTTTTAATCATATTTAAGTAATTACTTAACAACCCTCCCATAAAGATTATTTGATTTTTAATCAACAGGCTTTTTTTTTTTATCCAGGCACCTAGATTTGCATTTCAAAAAGAAAACTTATATTTGTTTACATGATATAGATTTTCAAACGTTATTTGGTTTGGTGGATTCACAACTTGTGGCCTCATATGGTATTTGAGGTTTTATGATTGTTGTTTGTATTATGGTACTCTGATTTGGTATTCAGTAATTCTAGTATAAGGAGCTTACTCAGATTAGAACTAATCTCCCATATCAAACGTGTAATTCAAAAGTACATTTTTTTATAGAATATAAAAAAAAACCTACACTTTTTATAAATAGCAATGCATTGATTCTAATTGAACTGACCTTAATTGTTAGTAGTGTAATTGTAATAATACGACACAATAATTTCACAACGTGAGTCATCAAATCCTATGTTTTTGGAACGGTGATGAAAAAAAAAAAAGAAAAGCTTAATTTGCACGCATATGCGAGGAGTTCATTCAAAATTGAAAATCACTCAAAGAATTAAAATATGTGTATGTTTTATGAGCTGTTAACAAATTGAAATTGCTATAAACTTGTCTGCAAATTATTAATATTTATTATACACCCTTTCGCACGTATCAAATTAACTAGAATGGAAGAGATGGTAAAAATCAAACTCCCAATAATTGCATTCCAAGGATTTTGATGCCATATCAAGTACTTTATGTTAAAAGTTTAAAGACGCCAGAATAATGCTTAAAAAAATAATATTAATATCTCCACAACATGTGATGTAGCTTGTAAGATTATTTTTTAAGAAAAATTGTTGGGATATTTATGAATCTTGAAGAAATGATCACAAGTTGCACAAAAGACCTTTCGTAAACAATCATTATATTTATACCAATCATAATAATTTTGTTTTGGAAGTTAGGAGAAGGGATCGAACAGAAGTGGACAAAGTGTTTTTTTAAAAAAAAAAAAATTTGTAAAAAGTTCCCAACCAAGTCCCCCGTAGACCTGGTCTGGGAACTTTGATGAAAATAATTTTTGTATTTTCCATCTATAAGATGAAATATATGGCCTCATTATATTTTTATTACTCATTTATTTCATAATATGATTACTATTTTCATTAAAAATCATTGCTTTTGTTTCTGTAATATGTTATTTTACGTACCAACCCACTAACTAGTCCATTAAAATAAAACAAGCAAGTCCAAAAGAGGTCTAAAAATATTAAATTAACCTAAATAAAATATCTGACAAACAATTCAGTTCAATTATATAAAAAATCATGTTAGTACAATTTTAATTTTAAAAACGAACCAAGTTAAATCAAACTGAGTATATTTATAGTTCTACGCAGATACTTTTAAAATTTTGTTTTAGCATACGAATTAAGAAGATCATATGAATCCGTATGAAAATTAGGTTTCAGTTATTATAATTTAAACTAGTTGGAACTTTAATAAAACGAAAATAGATAAATCCAACCAAACCAATCATTTAGTTCGATGGGGTTGAATAATTTTAGAAAAAAATATATCCAATTTCATTTCTATATAGTTCTACGCAGATACTTTTAAAATTTTGTTTTAGCATACGAATTAAGAAGATCATATGAATCCGTATGAAAATTAGGTTTCAGTTATTATAATTTAAACTAGTTGGAACTTTAATAAAACGAAAATAGATAAATCCAACCAAACCAATCATTTAGTTCGATGGGGTTGAATAATTTTAGAAAAAAATATATCCAATTTCATTTCTATATATATATATATATATATATATCAATTAGTTAAGTTTATGTGGTCAAGATTGAGATTTAACGGAGCTAAATCACGCATGCCCCTTACTGTATAAGGCATTTTCTTTTTCATTCATTTGTTTGCCTCAAGCCTCAACATCTTTTGTGTGGGGCTCACCTTTTAGGCATTCCGAAGCCAACTTGAACTTTAAAGCTTAGCTATCACATTTAAACACAATACCATGCTTTGCATGGGTTTTTTCCCTAAAAGTTATTATCAAGAAGGCTAAATAATTAAGACTTTGGCTTGATTATTAGGTCTAGTATGGTGGATATTACCTATATTTTTATACCTTATATAGGAGTTATGAAACTTTTTATCTTTCATGTTTGTTTCAGTTATTAATATAATTCTTGAAATTTTATTTTTACCAATCAAATCTTTGAAATTTTAAAATCAAACACAATTACATTGCATATGTGCATAAAATTATATATCTTCAGCATAAATGTTAAAGAATCGATCATCTTATTTATAAGCATCTTCCATTCACATCTCTTATTTTAACTCACTCTACATCCCCTTCAAATTATAAGAACTAATTATGTATAATTATAAAAATTAAATTTTAAAAACTAAATTGATAATTAAAACAAATTTGATATACCAAAAATTTTATTCTTCTTTTTATACATAACAAACCTATAAAAGGACAAATAAATAGGACGACGATAATGATAAATTTTGGTTTTCCTTGAATTTTGTGTTGTCGTCCTCCCATTTTCACTTTTTGAGTCTCGGATTTTTTTTAAAAAAAGTACTTTTCACACAAGATATTAACTACACATTTATTTTCTTGTGTTTATCATTTAAAAAATATCCTTAAAATACATTTCGTATCTGGAAAAAAAAGGCCGAAGCCCATCCTAAATAAAACTCAGGCCGAATTTATCAAAATATCGAAATCAATTGGTCCAATATAACACCCAAATGTCAAGCAAACCAGAATTCTCTGGACTCGAACCGAATCCAATGCAATGTATAATCACAAAGAAAAAATCCAAAAAAGGAAAGAAAAAAAAGGGATAACACAAATTTTAGACCTTCATCTTTGTATGAATTATCAATTTTATCCTTTAAATTTAATTTTTATCATTTCAGTCATTAACGTTTGCACCAATTATCAAGTTAGTGCTCAAAGTCTTTTAAAACAAATTAACTCTTAAGATGAGTTGACATATAAATTAAGCTGTTGATCCACTTGGATAAATTAACACACAAAAAGTAAATTTTCATTTCGTTATTGCTTATGTGTATTGATTTTTGTTATTCCTTATTTTCTAAATTGTAATTTATACTTGGGTTAAAATGTATTTTTTTTTCCTATATTTTCTTTTGAGGAGTGCAGAGCACCCTATATTATTAAGTGGAGAAATGGAAGGAGATTTTTGTTCCTCTAAAAAATAATTTTAAAAAAAAATACCTCACTTATTTCCATTTATACTTTATAATTTTCAAGTAGGGCAATTAAAACATTCCAAAACGGGTGAATGATTTTGCAACATGCTACGGTAAACTTGCACACGTTGGTGTGACTCTACATTATTTGGGACGATGAGATTGAAGAATGAATGATGGGGGGTTACTGGCGAAGCGAGACGGGAACGAGAGATTTTTGTGCAAACACTCTTCTTCCTTTTTTCCCCCTTCCTCCACAGCGTTTGGTTTTGTAATTTTTAAAATACTAAGTATGTTGTTTTTTTTTTTATTGCCTTATCTAATCAAAGTCAGCATTTTTGCTTTACACAATACTCATTTTGTTCGAAAATATACATTTTTAAACGAATTTTACCCCCCAATAAAGTAGTTACCTACTCTCAAACTAACCATATCTTTCTATATTTACTTCTATTAAACATCTTATAATAAATATAAAGTTATTTATTAATATAGTTACTTTTAAAAAAAGAAAATAATTACATTTTGAAAGACTAAAAATATTTTATACTTTTAAACATACAACTCCTCAAAAAAATACTTTACATTTTTGAACGAAGGGATTATTAATTTACATGACTGCCATATCATTATTCCACTAGCCATGTCAATGAAATTTAATGGTGTTAATTTCTCACATTACACTAAGGATTTCTTAGATAAATATATAAAATATTAAGAACTGAAATGATAGAAATTAAATTTAAAAGATTAAATTAATAACTCATGCAAATATAAATGATTAAAAGTTATATTATCCCAAAACTTTACGTTCATCTGCTTTTTTTCTTCTAGCAAAAGAAAATGAGAAAATCACTCCAAGGTCCCTTGGAATGATTTCAATTATCAAGAAATTCAATAAAATGCACAAAATACCCTTAAACTTCAAATTTATTATTTTTAATATATTTTATATTAAATTACTAAAATATTCTCGTTTTCAGTTTTTATTTGGAAAAAGAAAAAAAGCTTCTCAATGTTGATCACCGGAGCTCCAAACTAGGAACTCTTGCTACTTAAACAAATGATTGAGTTCAAATTTCAGCAGAATATATGTATCCGAAGATGATAATCTATATTATTAACAGAACCTATATTTTTTAAAAAAATTATATTATCATCATATCATTGTCCTTGCCAACTAAACTCCTAGTCAACTATTTTCTACATAACCTCCTAGAATCCCCATGGAGAATAATACTATGATAATTTTTATAAAAAAAAATCATAATCCCCATCCCCAAAACAAAATAAAAATTCTAAATTCAACTAGTTTAAAAACAAAATTTTATAAAATAAAGCAAACAGCAAGTTAAATTCATAGAGGTTTTGTCTTTTAAAATATTAAAAATTATAAATCTGTGAATGTGAAGGAGAACGAACCAGCCCGTGAGCCAAGAAGCTAGAGGGCCCCAACGGCGACCACATAACCTCGCACTCCAGAAGTAGAGGCCACCGGAAGTCGGAAACGCAGAACAAATCTCAGCCATTGATAGCCCCACCGTCATCGTCATCGCTCCGACAATCAACCATCCGTACACCATAGTGACCGGACCTCCGAACCTCAGCCCCGTTCCGTACAATGTCGTCAGCCCCGTCAGTATCGATATGATCGAAAACGCCATCGAGAAGTTCGCCACCGCCCTGCATTGCGCAATCCATTAGTATGGCGTTTTCTCGGGAAACAAACAGACAAAAGTGATCAACCCAAGAGAAGAAGTGGAGAAAAGAGCATTGCGAGTTTGACGTACGACAGGCTGCGGCTAAGCTCTTGCTTGTAACCGAGCTGCTTCAGTCTCAGGTCATCGGGATTGTTCACCTCGACCTCGGCGTCTCCGCAAGCGGCGGCGAGAGGGAAGTAGGAAGCTCCGTCGTCTTCTGAAATTGGAATTTCGGTCCCCATTTGATTGCAGTTAGGGATTCCGTTGTGGTTGGATTTTGAAGGATTTGTATGAGAAAGGAATGAAAAGAATGGATTTAACCAACAGTCAATGGGTCTGGCCTGCAGATGAGAGAAATATTTTGCATTCAAAAGGGGTATTAGGTGTTGGGATCGGTTTGAATGACTTCGTCCAGTTGGCAATAGTCGTCGACGCGGAAATGGAAATGCATTCGGAGGTGTGAGTGTGGAGAATTCGGGATATTTCCCGGCAGCAAAGATATAAATACTCTCTTCGATCATTGGTTAAAGCAAAAATAATAATAAATAAAAACTAAAATGAAGGTTAAAGCAAAAATATCTTTTCTTTTTTAAAAATATTTTTCACCTAACTGTCGATATTAATTAAATTTTTGTATACACTAAAATTGCATATTTTTTAAACTTTTAAGATAATATTACTGTAATCAAAAATTTAAAAAAATTATACTTTAATCCAATATAAAGACAACGTTTGGCTTGATTTTAAAATTTGTTATCATCTGTTATTAAAAAAAAATTAAAGAATTTGTTTTGATCGTTTATAGTACTCAAATGTAAACAAAAGTTTATTTTATTTCATAAAAAACAACTTATTTTAGAATTTTTGACACGTGCTTATTAAATTAATAAAAAATAATTTATTATTTCAAAAATTGTTATCTTCACATAAATTTGTCACTCATCCTAAGCATATAAAAAATATAAACAATAATTTGTTTTATTTGAAACTTGTTAACTGTATGCATATGTAAGTTTCTTATTTGTTACTCTCTTAAGTATAAAATATACTCACTCTGTTTAAAAATATAAGGCTTTTTTGATGAGTTGGATGTTAAAAAATATAAGATATTTTTAGTCTTTCGCAGTGTAATTATTGCTTTTTTTTTTTCAAAAATTCCCTTATTAATAATAACTTTATATGTATTATAAGGTGTTTAATAAGAATAAATATGAAAAAATAGAATTAGTTTGAAAATAGAAAATTACTTTATTAGGGGGTAAAATTTGATTAAAAATGCCTTACATTTTTGAATGAATGGAATAAGTAATTTTTTTAATTAATTTTTATTTATAATATAAGTAATTTACTATTTGTAGAAATTATTTTTTTCATTTTATTCATTGTATTTAATGACCCAATTTTTTTTTTCCCTCATCATTCTCTATCTTTGTCTAACTTAATTTATCATTAGTAGTTGGGATTAAAGCTAAAAAAATTATGATTTACTTTTGATGAGAATAAAAATATAATTAAATTTTTCTCATATGCAGATTATAGTTAAAAATTGCATACTTCTATTTTAAATTAAATAGAGAACTTATTTGGTCATACACTTATCTTTTCATTACAAGTTGCATACTCCTTTCCTTAAAAAATATAAGGCATTTTTTGAGGAGTTGAATATTAAAAAATATAAGATATTTTTAATCTTTTGAGATGTAATAATTACTTTTTTTTCAAAAGTACCCCTACTAATGGATGAATTTATATTTATTGTAGGGTGTTTAATATCAACAAATATAAAAAGATAGGATTAGTGTGAAAATATTTTAAAATTTTAATGTTTATAAATATTAAAAGAGTTTTGTAATTTAAGATATTAGTAATAAATTTAAAAATATTTTTAATCTTTATAATTTTATTTTTTAAAATATAGGGACTATTATTTAAGAGATTAAAACCTTAAAGACTAAGTTATAAAAAATAAAGTTCAATGATTGATTTACAATCAAGTTAAAATTTTAAGAATTGAGTTATAATGAGTTAAAATTTAAGGATTGGGTTACAATTAAGTTAAAATTATAAAGATTAAATGATTAATTTTTTCTATAACAAAATATCAAGAAAAAAAAATAAAGGAAAGTCAGCTAGTTACTATTTATCAACATAGCTAGACACTTTAGTTACTTAAGATATATACTCCCTCGGTTTAAAAAGATAAGATATTTTTAATTAAATTTTATCTCTAATAAAATAGTTATCTACTTTTAAACTAACTATATTTTTTATATTTATTCTCATTAAATATCCTACAATAAATATAAAATTAGTCATAAATAGAGACACTTTTAAAAATAATAATAATTACATCTCAAAAGATTAAAAATATCTTACATTTTTTATATTCATCTCTTTAAAAAATATCTTATATTTTTAAATAGAGGGGATAGAATTATAGAATTATAAAATAGGTATAGATGGAGACTAGCATTAATAAGTTTGGTGTGCATATCATTATCTGGAGATAAGAGAAGAAAATTTGGCCACCAAAACAACGAGAAGAAGATAAGAAAATAAATGCCAACCGAAGTGATTTTAATATTCTTTCAACTACACAGCAACAACAATAATCAATACTCCTTCTCTTTAAAAATATAAAATATTTTAAATCTCATTTTTAATAAAGTGATTAATTATTTTTAAATTAATATTATTTTTTTATATTTTTTATTTAATAAGATGTTTTACTTTAAAGTAAATATAAAATAATTTATTTATTATAGACACTTTTAAAAAAAATACAATGATTATACATTATAATACAAAAAATACCTTATTTTTTAATAAAAAGAATATATTTTATCAAATTATTAAAAAAATATAATTTGTTTCACAAAAGTGTCTTTAATAATAATTACTTGTATCATTTAAAGTTATGCACAACAAGAGATACTTCTTCAAAATTACAATATACTGTATTAGTAGACACTTCACAGTTGTAAAATGAAAAATTAGGAAAAACATTAATCTCAAAAGAAAATTTATATTTTTACAATTATACTTTCATTAAATATCTTACACAAGTATTTTAATAATGTCAATTAAAATTCAAATGCATTATTTTTTTCACAAAAAAAGTAATAAATAAAGTAGATGTATAGTTGAAAAAATAATTATAAAAACTACCTAACATTTTATATTTTGGATGAAATAGAATTTCTAGAAGACATCATATATTGTGGTTTGGAGAAAAGTAGCCTTTAGTCTAATTTTATTTGTTTACTAAAATATTATTCATTAACCTAATAATAATATGCTTTTTAAGAAAATATTTAGTTTTCAGGCCCAAAAACACTAAATATATAGTTTCATGAATGATCTCAGTCAAAATTAAAAAGAAAACTAAAATGTATATGAATAGAAAAGAAAAAATTTTAAGCATCGGTCTAATCATCTTGGGGAAAAATTTATAATAATAAAAAAAAATGTTGTGTCAACTTAAGATGAGTTATATTTCTAAATCAACAAAGTCATCTCAATCAAAACTAAACCGACAAGCCACATGATTAACAGCCAATGATCCCAGAAGGCACCTTAACTGATATGAGTAAAATGAGCATGGTTTGATGCAAAATCTCGGAAACAAGTTCAAACCCACATAGAAATCTGCACTTGAGATTCTCAAAGCCTAAACTCTTACAGATTATGGACATTTACCATCTTCCCTTTCTCTTCACTGAACTCTGAACGTAGAGTCTGGTAATATTGGCTTGTTGAGTTTCCTATCATAACAGTGCAGGATATATACAGTCTGAAGCTCATCATCAAGTGCTTAAGCAATATGCCCTTAAAGACTGTCATTGTTCATAGCATACGGCTGAAGTCCATTTCGAGATTCGGCCAACATCTCGAAATATGCATGAGGTCCCCAGCCTACATAATAAAAGCGAAACAAAAAAATTAAAATTAAGCCACATTTTGACTAGTCTTTCTTTCTTTCTATTATTTTTTATTTTTCTATCTGATGATTTACAGTACATTATCATTATCAGAATCCTAAGTAAAGGAAGGACTCAAGTATGAATGCGTCACAATGACTTCCATGTCCTAACATGGTGTTGTGGCTTCCCAAGGCAAAGCAACTCCACAAGCTTGAGAAAACATGGATTGGAAGGTCTCTAACGTGGACAACAAACATGCTGGCATATTACCTATTTGCTTAAAATCATATCGAATGGTTTTGCTAACCAACCCTAAAGATAAAATTCGACATAAACATAACCAACCTTAGTAAAAAAAGTGAAATAAATAATTTTGAATCTTGTAAAGAGAGGTAGAGAAAGATTAAAAAGAATACTTATAAAAATTATTAACGAGACCTTTTAGTTAACAATGTAACTAAAAGCTTAGTTAATGATAGATTATAATAACATCATGTAATTTATGTAGCCGACCCCACCAAACGGGATAAAGTTTATTGTTGTTGTATTGGTTCTAAGAAGGATATTTCATACCAGCAGCATGAAGCATAGACATTTATTCATGTACGAGAACATATTTCTTTGGCACACATCTTCAGATGCTAATAATTACAATAAGAAACCATTTTGTTAGGGTAGAACACATGTTAAAAGAAAGAAAACAAGACAAAAAGGAAAGGTGGAGAACAATATTATTAATTAATGTCAAAAAGAATGAAAGAACAATTCATGGACATACCATCTCTGTCATGCGGAGGTGGAAAGAATTGCAAGTAGCAAAAAGATGCTACTGTTATACCTGCATAAAAGATGCTCAAATAAGAAACTACACAGAAATAAAGAGAAAAAAAATGGTATGTTTGAATTTGTGGTTGCAGACAACAAAATATACCTAAAAGACCTCCGGCAAATACATCTTGCCAATGATGCCAATAATCATCAACTCGAGAGACGCCAACCATAGCTGCCATGAGGATTGGCAAGAAAACAATACAGAGCTTTGCGATGTGGCCCCTACGATCAAATGCCCTAACTTTCCCAGATAGATACCAAGCAAGAAAGCCAAGACCAGCAAAAGACCCTGCACACAATAAGCGAGTCTTTACGAGACTTTTTTGTGGGATTCTATGAAGCCTGTGACAAAATTTTAATTGAGGGCAGAAAATTGAAATCTATCCCCAAGATAAATCAATGAAACCATAGTACATACAAGAGGTATGCCCACTTGGAAAGCTTTTGTATCCCTCTTTGACAACACTCGCACGTCCAGTACATTGAACATCTCTTGTATATGTGTCGATCACCTGATTATATCACCCACCAATTCACCAATGCCATGCTTAGGGAGCACATTATTAAACAAAAGCAATTTTTATCACATGAAAAGGATGATAATCAGGTAATCTAACTGGTTTAAAATTTATAACATGGAGAACCCACCTCTTTGCCATTGGGAAAACAACGCCAGAAGAAATCTGGACGTGGCCGTCCAATCCCATCTTTAATAGCATCAGTTACAACCGCAGTAATGAGTACAGAATCCAGAAGACCTGGACACACATTTGGCAGTGATGGTCAAAACAGTGTAACGAGGTAACGTTTCAAAAACTTCAAAACGTACCCAATATAGCCTGGTGGAAGTCGTAAACATCCTTGCGAATGATGTAGTAAACAAGAATGACAATAAGAGGCACCAATATTGCTATCAACTGTCCAGAATAATGAAATTCAAGAGTTTATCTTTTGATTTGATCTAGCTAAGCATCAGCATAGCATGTAACATCAGCATGGTATAAATTTCTTAGGATGAAATTGATTCCAGGAAGAAGAACTTACTGGAACAGCCCAAAATGGAATTGTGTTATCTTTCAATGGGAATCTCAGGTCTGTCAACATCCACTCTCCGACAAAGCGGTGGAATGGATCTATCACATTCAAAATTACATCAATCACCGCAAGAAGTATGAGAATCAACCAGTCATGCAAATGTCTTCTAGCCACCTTCGCTCCATGTGATCGGATAGTGTGCGCACCCAATTGGATTTCAGGCATTTCTAGTTGGAGGGAAAATGTAGCAGGAGTCATGTTAGAAATTAAAGAACCAGAAATTAGGGTAAATAAAATGAGAGCAAAGACAGATTGGAATACATGATGAAGAAATGTCACAGACAGAGACATTTGCAGTTATGAAGTGACACCAAGAAAATAGAACAAAGCAAAAGTCATCTAGCAAAACAAAACAGAGCAGCGCAGAAAATATTATACCTCAACCAGAATTCTCAAAAAAGTACCCCATTTGTCAGTTGGTCAATTGAGAAAGGAAATTTAAAAACCAATGTTCATTTTTTTTTTTTTGAATAAAAGACATGGCCAGGACCATACAATGGTTACAAAAGTCAACACATATTAGAGTTTAAGGTGTTCCTACATCCTATAGGCCATTTGTTATAAATAAAGAAACTATAGTTGTCATGTAAAGTTTCTCGTCCCAGCAAATTAGCACACCAATATTCATTTTTTGGTACTCAAGGAATCCAGTGATGCGCTTACAAGGTTTGCTATTGCTTTCCATTTAATTAGTGTCATTAAATTTTGACTTAAGCTAATGCTTGAAAGTATGTGATTATGTATCATTATCACCAAAATTTAGCTCCGTAACTGTACTATCTTACCAATATTTACCGTTTCTAATATTTTATTTCCATATCATTGTCATTGGAGGTCATATTGATGACATTTTGCCTATTTGTAGCTTTCTTGTCTCTGCCCTTGACAGGAGGTACGAACATAATCCTCGCTTTAAGCCTTGAGGTCACAGTCGGGATTGTAACTAGGGCCACAACTTTAATATCCTTAGGAACAAAAACTGTTACTCCACCCTTTCGGTTTCCTTTTTTTTTTTTTTTTGTCAAATCTAATTTGTTACCCAAGCAAGAGTTCATTCAAGGCTCCTCAAACCCCAAAGAAATGAACAATAAACTCCCGTGCAGACAATTATTTGAACATCATATGGTTCAGATAATATATAATAGTAATTTTTTTTATTTCATTCTTGTCCGTTTAAACATAACTTTCCCCTGTTAGTGAAAGAAAGAAAACCTAATTCTGAGTCACTTGGACAACTTTCGGCTTAGTTTTGAATGTCACGGTTCTGCAGAAATGATTCCTCAAGTAATTTGCTGTTTCAGTTTCAAGCATAAAATTGAAAAACTTGCAAGAATTTCATTCCCTTTTTTTTTTTAAAATAAGTATGACAAACAACTCGCAGGAACCGATAGCGAGGATCATCAGTAAATTATAGATAGCAGAGGATGTCAGAAGTTTATAAATACAGACCAAAATCTCCTGTCAGTCATGTCAGATGGAATAACTGAACTTGCAGACAAAGAATGTAAAAGGCCAGGATTTCTAATTTCAAATTTAAACTATATTATAATAATTAACAGTAGAAGAAAAGGAAAGGAAAGAGGCATAATAAAACTGAAGGAAACAAACACGCTTTACAGTATAACTTCTGAAAAAAGAAAACGAAACTCGAATAACCGTAAAAGAAGTGATAATGAAACAACTGAAACAGCACTGGGAAACACAATGCAGAATTGGGAAGAGAGAAATAGAGGAAGCAGCTCTTACCTGCGCTAAAATTCAAAGTTTGAGAGGAGGAAAACGGGAATTGAGGAACGAGAGAGAAGGCGCCTGGGAGGAACGTGGAGAGTGAATAGAATATGGAAAATAGGAATGTGAAGGAAGAGAGAAAAGCATCTAATGGCTGATTTTTTGCTTAGCGACTTTGTGTAATGTGCCCTCTGCAATGTTGAGAAAAGCCGGGAAATGAAGACCGGTGGGCCTGATAGCGACAAAAAGAAAACTGAAAAGGGGTAAATACCAATTTTTTAACTTTAAACTTTAAAGTGTAATTAGTTTTCTGGATATTAAGAAACTTTTTTAATTTATATCCCTCTTAACCCCTTGATTAGTTAGGGGTCATATAAGGGATGTGAGAAAAAATTAATTAGTTTAATTAAAAAAAGTGTGGGATTTAAAATTTTTAATTAATTTTTATTGCTATCTCTTCTTACATTTTCTTTCTCTTAAAGATTTATAATCCTATACTTTCTCCAATCACTTTATTTATCTCATTTTAAAAGGATGAAGTGGTCTGTTTTATAAATCACTAGAGTAACAATAATGTTTTGTTTCAAATGAAGGCTTAAATTATCCTTAGAAAGAGAGAGAAAAATAGAAAAATAATATTATATTAGTTATTTACTTTTTATTCGAGAGTTATGTTTAAAATTTCACTAATTTTTATTTCTTGTACTTATATTGTATTGATATTGATAAGATTGATAAAAATAATTTGTAAATAAAATTAGAGAGAGTACTTGTTTATTTTTTAAATCAAACTCGTCAAACTTTTTCTTTTATCAAGGGTTTCATTTCAAGTTCAAAGGGATAGGAAAGAAAATTTTAACATTATATGTTATTTTGTATCTTTTTGTCCAGTGTTATAAGATGTTTTTAAGAAAAATGATAATAAAATCTCTTTAAAATTTTTAAATGATATATTGGTATCATGAAATGACATAATTCTCTTGGAATCCAAAGGGATGTTTCTATCATTAGAGAATTATAAGAAATAACACTTTTGCCCTTTATTCAAATTAAAAAATTTACAACTTTCTATTCACAACTTTTGTTTTTAAATTCACTACAATTTAATAGCTATTCGCAAGTCCAAATATGTATTAGGTGTTAAAAATTTATAATTTTTCATTCACAACTTTTATTCCTATATTAAAAAATTTTATTTTTAAATTCACAATAATTTAATAGTCATTCGTAACTCCACATCTGCAGATTATGATATACATTAGGTGTTAAAAATTTACAACTTTCTATTTACAACTTTTATTCCTATATTAATAACTTTTGTTTTTAAATTTGCAATAATTCAATAGTCATTCGCAATTTTAAATATGCAAGTTCTGATATATATCAGATGTTAAAAATTTGTAACTTTTCATTCACAACTTTTATTCCTATATTAACAATTTTTGTCCCTAGATTTGCAACAATGCAATAAGGAATTGTAATTTTTTAGTACCCTCTATAAATTAATTAAATCAGAAAAATGAATTATCACTCTAATCCAAGAAATAACAACTTTCATTAATTTAAATGATAAGAAAACTTTAAAAAGTGATAACTATCTAAGGTTTTGTTGTTAGTTACATGATTTACAATTTGCAGCAAAATATCCTACAACCCTTTTGATAAAAATATATGAAAGGTTGAATTTTCTAATGTCATCCCAACATATCAATCATTCTCATACCAACCTGAAACAATAAAATAGCCATTTATCAACATATCTATTTTTCAAATATCATAATCATATATTTGTTATATGTTATCTAACAACAACTATTCATCTTATATTTATAACTTTGTATTAATCATTCACAATTTTGATTTATGTATTTATAACACAACTGAAAATGATATATCATTCATCACTTATCCATAAGTAAGCATCCATACTCTCGTACAACAGAGAAAATCAGAAAATGAAGACCTCAATTATGAAGAGAAAATAAAGATCTCAGTCATTTATGCACATTAACCTATATCAACTTTAATTATCACATGTGAGAGGAAAAATTTTCAAGGAGAAGAAGAAACTTACCCACATACTGCACATCTAACAGAGGAACCCACCTACAGGAAACTCAGAAAGAAATAAGATAGACAAGAAGGAGAAGGAGACGGAGAAGGAGAGAGAGGTGAACTAGAAGAAAAGCATGAAGAAGAGAAGAGGAGGAAAACAAGAAGAAGAAGCAAAGGCAAGAGCGCATAAGAATGGCTCTGCATTAAGGCTTGAGATTTTTGTTTTATTTGAGGGCAATTTGGTCACTTCTTTTAATCTTCTAATGACAGAAAAATTTCATGAGGCTCCAGAAAAATTATGCTATTTCATAGGATCAATCTATTATTCACATAATTTAAATGGATTTTTGTATTATTTTTCCTATTTTTAATTGAATTGTACCTTTTAATAAGTTAGTTAATTGTCTTTAAAATTATATAATCTTTTTATATTTATCCTTATTTAACAAGATATTCAATTTAAAAATATTATTAATTACAGCCTAGCAAAGATATTTTTAAAAATTTCAGCAATTATATATTAAAAGATATAGAATGCCTTATATTTTTTAATATACTATTTTAAAAATATTTTATAATAATGAAAGGAGGGAGTAATTTAACTGGGGGGATGAACGGATATTTTAGATGTCACATTATTTGATTTAGAAGTGGAAAGAAAGGAAAAATATAACAATGAATTGACCATTAATTTAACTTCTTTGTTCTATAATTTATTCATGAATGACCAAAATGGATGTGTTTCCTCTCCTGCATAAAGAGGCTTGCAATTTACTGATAACTCTCATTGTAGAGATGAAGATTTGTTGTATCACCATCATGTTGAAACTTGAAACTAAATGTTTACTTCATGTTGTTTTTTCTTTTTTTAAAACTTTATGTGTCAATATATAAATGGTTTTTGTGCAAATTGCCTTTCCATACTTGATAAAACAATTGTAACAGCACATGATGTTAAGAAAGTTTTAGGATCTATATTGATAATATTTCAACTTTTCAACTAGTTTAATGCTATTAATCAAGTGGCATATTATTTCTGCCCGCTTGATGCTTCGCTTAAAACTCATATTGTAACTTCTTTTTTATATATTTTTTGTAATGGACAATAATACATATATATGAGTTAAGCTATAACTCTTCAATGCTAATCAAATTATTGGCGCACCAAAAATGAGTTCCATCTAATAAAGAAATTGAGCACTTGAGCATTTCAAAAAGGAATAGGTTCCCTTCAAATCTGCTTGCAAAACTATGAAAACCCATAAGGATCAAAATCGCTTAGATATATGGACTAAAATTTGAAAGTAGCCTATACATGAAAAAAATTAAATATTTTCTTTGTAGACTGCTTTGAATAGTCTTCAAATCAACCACGTGCATACAATTGAGAATACTCCCAAGCAACATATTTGCCTTTTTAGTTATAACTCTCCTAACTCTTCTATTTATATTTTACGTAACTGTAAAAAATCTAAAGATGTTTGGAAAAAATTGATTAATCCTACAAAACTTAGCACTTTTTTCTCTCTCAATGTGTAGATTGGACAATTTGGAATGGAAAGAATGGAGCAAATAGCTTGAAAACAAGAAGAATGCCCTAGTAGAGAGACTATTTGGTTTTGCATAAGCTTATTAGAACATTTGAAAAACTACATATAAAAACATATGCTTTGAAGATGAGATCCTAGAAAACAATATCACCTTTTCTAACACCCAACAAATAAATAATGACTCGAAACTTCTATCCAAAATCATCTACTTAAGCAAAAGAAATTCTACAAATGATACTAAATGGAGCCCACTTGAACCTAGATGGGTTAGGCTTAACACCAATGACTCAATTAGCATCAATAGCGCTGCAGCTTGTGGAGGCATCATTGGATATAACAAGGAAAATCAAATTAAAAGACTTTTTCAATATCTTGGCTATCATCCTAACATAGTAGCAAAATTTATAGGAATCTTTGAAGGTTTTAATCTTTGTTGGAATGCAAAATTACCTAAAGTTAATGTCTACTCAAATTCGATGGAGGCCTTATCACTCATTAACCATACCTACTCCGAAAGTCATCCATTATCTAACACTATTAGGACAATTAAAGACCTCATTATGAGAGATTAGATGATCACATTTGACATGTTTATAGAGAAGCAAATAGATGCCCTGATCTCTTAGCCCACCAATCATCACATGATACCTCTGATATATATTATGATCTTTGATGTTCCCTTGCTTGACTGTAAAAATCTCTTGATTTTAAATATGACTAAATTTTAATTTCTTTGTATGGTTTTAGTATGGCCATGTAATTAAAAAAACACTCTACGAAGTTCAAACTTCATTTCGAACCAAATTATACAAGATATAGTATATAGATAACAATTAAAGATGTTGAAGGTAGGCCTAGTTTCAATGTTCATATGCAAAGCTCATTGTTTTTGAATTGTTCAAATCTAATTTTCGTTGTTCAAATTTTCAGTTTTGCAACAGATTTTTTAAATAAAAATTATTTGAAAAACTAACAATAAAGATATTGTCTTTATTTTATATTCTATATCCATTTAGATAATTTTTTTTTAAAAAAGTAAAGAGCAATAAATTTGAGAAATCCAGATTAGATTTGAACAGTCAAAGGCAATGAGCTTTAGTGCTCATGTGTATGATAAATATTGAAACTAGTTTTGGTGAGCCTTTGGGTTTTTTTTTTTTAAACAAAGAGTAAACCCTATCGATAACAAAAAAAAATTTCTTAGATATTGAAGGCAAATGATAGACCATTTTTAATTAAATTGTTTTATATATATATATATATATATAAGAGTTAGGATTTAAAACCCCAACTATTTATTTAAGTAACGAGACTTATATCACTCACGTCATTTTGTTTGAAGTAAATAAACATATCTCATTAATCTAATAACCTATTTATTATGAATAGTTTGTTGACTTTAATGTATCTCATCGATTGAGCTCAAAACCTTGGCTCACTTGACTCACCAAAAGTTTAAATTATAACAATTTAAAAAGAGTTTAGCGGTTATTATTATAATTATTTTTTATGAAAGACAAAGCAATGTATTATATATTAGTATT